TCAAGAGCGGTGTTAACAGCAGGCTCCTGCCCAGACACTTAGAGACGTATATGAACCTTGGGTCACTTCTAAAGCTTGAAATGTATTGGATCACTTAGACGATACTAATTTTTGTCGAAAATCCACATGGAGGCTAATTTGTGATCATAAATTTTGTAGGGCAAATATTCTTTTGTCCCCATTCATAGCTTGAATTCTAGATGTCTATCTTTGGGCAGGCCCCAGGCTTTGTCTCCTGTGCCCTGATAACATGATAAGCAAGACTCAACTTTACCCCATTAACAGCTACCCTTTGGGTTTTACTTATCACTTGGGATTCCTGCTTCTTCTTAGAGTGAGGACTTTAAATGTTCTTTACTACTGTGTTATTGGTGGATTCGAAAATATAATTTTTGTTTTCTGTCCAATATTTTTAGTTTACTGTAGGAAGGACTAAGTAAATCATAATGGGAAGCCATAGTCTGGCTCGAACATTTGAGAGAAAGAGAGGAGGGGAAGAAGAGAGAGAGAGAGAGAGAGAGAGAGAGAGAGAGAGAGAGAGAGAGAGAGAGTTGTACTGCTAATGCCCTGAATTTAGTATCACTTGTATACATGAGTAAAATGAGCAATAATTATTTACCTTCCAAGAACAATAACTGTAGCTCTCTGTCTCCACCAATAACTACAAACAATTTTTCATTAAAGAACAGAGAGTGATTGAAGAGTCCAAATTAGCCCTGACAAGAAAAAATAACAGCTGCCTAAAATGAAATGTTTGAGTTATGAGCCATGTGCCACTTTGGCTTATCTGTAGCCGAAAGCTTCGAAATCCTTATTCAATTAGCCGTGTTGCTGGGGAGGGTCTGGTTGCCCCGCACAAGAGCAGCCTGGTGATGAGTTAGGAGTATCCATGACATGCAAGTCAGACCTTGCAACTCTGTTTTTGTTGTTTGAACTCTCCTCTCTGTTGTAGCTAGGGATCCGGCGTGGAATTTAAACACTTGTGTGGCAACTCCGTTCCTTCGGCCATTGTGTTGTTAAGCTCCAGCTAACGAACTTTAACACTGGCTCTAATCAGGAAAGACTTAGAAGCTAGCAGCCACCAACAGTTCTGGTTTTACAGCTACAACTATATGGTTTATCTGTCTTTATGGCATCTAGATGTTCTTGCCTGCCCAGTCCAGCCACTCCATAAAAAGTCTTCAAAATACATATGAAAATTGATTTACCAAGATATATCTTTAAAAAAAAAAAGTGAAAAGCTCAGGAAGTGAGTTTCTTTCCAAAACTTCATCTACTCTAGCAGAAGCTTCAAAGTGTGTGACTGTTTTCACAGAGACTCAGATAAAATGCAGAAACCAAGATTACATAATATTTGAGAGGTGACAACTGAGAGGTACAACAGGCATGTATATTGTATCATGTGGCACTTTCCTTCGCCACCAATGTTTTTAGTTGCTTAGAGATCCTCTTGACCATGTCACAAAGAATGTCTCAGACCCATGTGGATTATGCACACATGGACGTGCTAAGAACAAGTGCTGGGTTGAAAAATCTCTGGGCTTCATTTTGCTTCCAAGCATATTTTGAGTCTAAAATCTAAGTGATTGAAAAAGGAAAAACAGTTTCTTCTGTAATTTGTAGCTTAGTTCTAAAGACAGTGCTGAAAAATTCAAGTATGCTTGGAAAGTTTCAGTAATAGTTTGACATCAAAGACAACAATGCTTTTGCATTGAAGAATCGTACTGCAATTAAATGTGTACTAATTACTAATCAATACTTAGGGCCATATTACATCATAGTTTTGTCACTTTGCAAAAAATACGATGGTGTTTGCGTTTGAAACATGGTCATTTCATAAAGAATAGTCATGAGGAATGAGGATATATAATTTCGTTTGCCAATAGAACTGTCAGGAAAATCTTTGAAGGTCAGAAATTGCCTTTCATTTAAAGCTCCAAGAATAATCACTTTATTCCTGCTTTTATAGAGACTGCACAAACATTTATTATAGGCTGAAAGTTTAAATATCACAAATATTATTGTCTAAATTTTAAGAAAATTATCTGGTCCTATTATATTGGGTCTTCTTATGAGTCAACTGTCTAGGCCATCTATAGAACTGCCCTTCCAGGTTTGTTTTCATGGGGATGGCAAGGAAATTAATAAGGTAGAGCCTGTGTTCCAAGCACATATTTCCAGTGAGCTCCTAGCCTGTACTTTGATTATTTAATCCATTTACCATTTTCATCCTTTAGTCACTGAAATCTACCTTCATGTGTTTAAAACTGATTCACCCTTCAAGAACACTTACATACCACCTCCTACAAGAAGCATTCCCTAATTCCCCACCCCCAGAGCCAAGTCTCCTTCTGTTCTGTGTGCCTGGTGGTGCTGTCTGCAGCTCTCTGTTAAGGTGGTTATTAGGTTTTCTCTCTCCTGAGTATTCCTGTGCTGTCTCCCCTTAGAAGGCAAGCTTCTGGGGGTCAGGCTTCGCTCTTGCTCATTTCATTGCTCAGGTAAATACTTGATGGATAATCATTCTTCTTCACCAGCAAAACTTTTCAAATGGCGTTCGTTTTTGGAACCGTTCGCGTGATGAGCATCTCTAAGGAAAAAAAAACACACGTTAAAAGATTAAAATTGAATATCTTTGTCTACAATTATGGTAAAAATACATTTATCACATCAGCTTGTCTAGCACTGGGACAGATCAGAGCCAGTGCCTGCCTGAAGCTTGTCAGTTTTGTGTGTGTGTGTGTGTGTGTGTGTGTGTGTGTGTGTGTGTGTGTGTGTGACTACGTCCATTTCAAGTAAAAGATTACTGAAAGGTTTTGTTGCTGCTAATGATGCTATTGTTTGGGGCTTTTGTTTAGTTGGTTTGTTTGAAAGTCAGGATTTCTAGTGTAGTTGTTAAACTGTGGTCCCAACCATCAGAAGTTTGAAAATCTACTCTGATGAAGTGAAGTCATGGCTTCCTTTTGCTGACTCTAAAAGTTCTTACCAAGTTTCCACACTACTGAGCAGTCCAGTTACATCATCACTGAAGAAGAGCAGTAGCTAAATCTCTTTCCAGAACCAAGTACATCCAAACTTAGCAATAGCTAGCTGGTGAATAAAATCTAGATATCAGCCAATGTGGTGTCCTTAGCTGCTTCCTGTGTTGCTGCATCTGCTTTCAGTTCCAAAGTCACTCAATTCCCTAGAAATACCTGAGGTTTTTGCAAATATGGATTGGGTTATGTACTTTCTTCCGTTTCTAGTTATGTATTATTCTTTCAAGCCCTGAACTGCATTTGCAGATATTTGAGAGGAAAAATAAATTGTGCATGAATATTGCTCCCCAAGCTATAATTCCAAAAATGAATATTTAGTTACTAATTTTCCATCTCTACTTAGTCTACACCAGTTGCCACTATAGAACATGTTGGAGATCCTCAGGCTTAGGGTATGTGCTGTTCTGCAGAAGCAGGTCCATTGTGTCAAAGGCTTTCTGAAACATTGAAGCATAGAATATTACTTTATGTGGCTATGACATCACCACACTGAAAACCTTAAGTTGTTTTAAAAGTATTTTCTTCTCATAAATATGTCCTAACTGGATCTAACTTCTCAGTATAGTGTGTGTTCTGAAATTGTTTCCACTGTGTACATTGCAAAGTTAACCATCTTGATTATGAGTGACTGCCTGCTGAGTGATTCATTTCAGGAGTGTTCTGTTTGTTAATTTTCTAGGAAATGTTGCTTCTTTACTCATCAAGGAAGAGCAAACAATGCCGGCATTGTTTACCATGTGAAAAATTAAAATTATCTTAACAAAGAGTGTCCACATACTGGCATACAGCCAAGGGAATCATATTTGCCTTAAGGTAGCAAAAAGGTTAGGAGATTGACTGTATCCATTCTCAACTTGGAGTTCATCGGACAAGAGAGAGCTATGGATTTCTAGCTTTTGTGTTAAACATCTAATGTTCTCTTGGCTAATTATTTTTCACTTAGAATTATCTCTTTAATTCTAGGATCTCCCATTTCTTTGGAAATGTGTGTAAAACATATAATCTTCTCTTACAAGTTTCACATTTGGGTAAAAAAAAGAACATGTAAGAATTGGATCGTGTGCCACCAGCAGACATTTTCAAAGCTGGGAAAAGGCATCCCTCCCTAGGTTGTCAGCCACACTGCCTCCCTGTCTGCTGCTGCTAAGAGCTGAAAGCTGTGTCCTCGTGGTTAATGTTTTGACAGATTTTATCAGAAGACTTGCTGTTGTAAATTCCCTTTGAGCCAAAATTTAACATGTTGAGTGCTCACCAATGACTTTTACTGTTTGTGATCCAGAAAAGGAAATAAATCAATATGCTATTTTAAATGATAGGAGTGGACAGCTTACCTCCAGTTCAGTGGTACACATCAAGTTTGGGAGAAATTCTCTTTCCCTGTGCTGAAGGTCTTTAAGTTATCACTGGAAACATATGTAAACATTTTTTTTTTGTGACTAGAGCATTGGAAAAGATACCAAAGAAAACATTGTATGATTTATGTGTTCTCAGTAAATTTTGTAATCAAAATATTTCATTTTTTAAAAAAATCCAAATGTAACACCTCAAAATGTGGTTGACTTAAGAGCTCTGGAGCAAACCCCGTTTACAGGCAGCTTCTCAGTGCTCATGTTAGTGAGACCTCATGATGTCTTTTATCTGTGATAACTACTCAGGGCATTTTGTAAACATGATCCCAATCATTGCTATTCCCAAGAGACTGCAGATCAACATTTTTCCCCTCTCTAGGACATCTTCAATGACTATGACCATTAATATTTATTTATAAATACATTTGTACACAGGCTCAACCATAGCACATTGGATGACAAAAAGAGTCAGTTACTCGGTTCTTTAGCCTAGACTAAATCAAATCAACAAATATTTATTGAATGTCTACTGTGTGCACATAAGCCTGGGCTGGGCAGCTTTTAAAAGCCACCCAACTTCTCAAATTGACAAGCCAAAGCATTATTTTTCTTTCAGGCCTTGCAGAAGCCACTTTCATGTCCTTAAAGTGACAATGTGTATGAAGACGACCAAGGAAAGAAGGTTAATTCACAGAGTGAAAACAAGAGAACGAATACTCTAAAATAGCATCGATGGATGGACTGCATCATGGGTTATGTATGTATGTATGTGTGTGTGTGTGTTTGTGTGCGCAAGACTACATCAAGTATGTGTGCATCTGTCCATATGCACATCTATCCACACAGAGAACAATGAGTGTATGTGAGAGAAATGGCTTGTGCTTCAGTGACATAAGAATAGAGATTAACATTTGAATATATTAATAAAAGTAATATTTTAATCCAAAGCTTTGCTTTAAAAATAGGCTTTATAGTTTGATTGTTAAGCCCTATGATGCCAACCCTCAAATCAAAATTATTATTATATTATAGAATGGATATTCAACCTAGAGTCTGCTCTTCTGCAGATTTTTAGCTTACCCTAAAGTCTATTATGGGATAACCTCATCAACAATAGATTTCTAATCAAAGACTTGACTTTTACATGGTTGCTATAGAAAGTTACCGAAGAAGTCTTAATAAGAAAATTACATCATTAGTAAGAAACTGCCGCAAGAGTGACATTAAAGATTCTAATTGATGTGAGAAACTAAATAAAAACTACTAGCAAGAGGCAAACATCGAGAACTTCCCTTTCCTGTTCCAATTTCTGCATTTCATTTTGTTAATTGTTGTAAAGAAAATAGTGTCTATGATCTGTATCATGTAATTGAATACATTGTCTTAGAGATATTAAAGGAAGGCTGACAGTAATTTCCACATTTGCCAAATGGTATTAATTCTGGATGTTTTACATAGAAGGTGTGTACATGGGTTGGCTGTAGACAATATTATCATTCAGGTTTTCATGGGGGATATCTTGTGTGAACTTAAAAATATTTATAGAAGAGACTTACTTTCAAGGAGACAATTTTTGCCTTCTATTGGTAAGCAATGTTAACTTCTAAATGAAAATCAAAACAGACTCTAAATAACCTTTGTCATCAGAAGTTTTTATCTTTCTTAAATTGCCTGAAATTAAATCCTTAATAATCAGATGGGGAAATACTGTTACAGTTCTTAAATTTTTACTTTTGCTTTATGGAATTGTTCAATATTAAGGTTGCCTTGAAGTGCATTTCTTCTCACGTAATTGTTCTCTTCAGGTAGCCAAATGGCTTTCTTAAACATAGTAAGCCCTTTCTATGTGTGACAATTTTATGATGCTTTGGTTTCTTTCATTTGTATTCTTGATATATTGTAAGTAATGTCTTTGGGTAAATTTTAAATAAAGTTTTACATGTGTGACATCTAATGCCTATGTTCATGAAGAAATATGTCTTTAGAGTTCTTTCTAATTTTCAGTGTATTCTATCCCCCACCTCCTTTGACCAAAGTTCTTTGATACTGGGACCCTCTTACCTAGGAGCTAGCCTGGGTTCACCTGCCCCCTTGTGGTGTTTTTTTTCCGAAAAGCTAATTAATTTTTGAAACTTGATGTGACACAGTTTGAGCCAAGAAACTGCATTCTTATTGTTTGGCATTCAGAGTCAGCAAAGTTCTCTTCTACCAGTCGGTGGCTAACATAACAAGATGAAGGCGATCATTGAAGCTTTTTATTTAACCCAGAGCCCAAGAAGGAATTGGGCACACTAAGGAATAAGTACCGTGGGATAACCTGAAATAACTTAATTCCCCCTAGAATCTTTGTTAATGATTGAAAACTAACGAGGTATTTCAGAAGTTTTTTTAAAAAATACAACCTAAAGTCAAGTTTATATTGATTCTATAATATGTCTATTCTCTGTTGATAACTTCTCTTTTTTCATGAGTGAAAAAGCTCCCATTTTACTTTATTTAAGTTTTAAATAAATGTCCTAAGTCTCCTGTCAAAGATGAATTTATAACTTTAAAAAATAAGTTAAATATTACATAATGTATACTCACATGTTTGATACAATATACTATTTGACCTTTCTCTCCAGTTGCCGTAAGACTAATTTTGACCCCTTCAATTGAAGTTGGCAGGTTTTATAGATGGAAAAAAGATGTGTATGTTTAATGAGTGAAATTACCTTGGTTTTTTCCAGATGGGAGACTTAGGAATTATGCCTCTGGTTAATGAATAATAATGTGATAAAAAGAAAAGAAAAAGGAAAGGCACTATTCACATACATACATGATTTGTGTTTCTTTGAGAAGGTAGCAGATTAATAAGTTATTGTTACAGGAAGACCCCCAAACAAAATTCTAAAGATTTCTATTTCTGTTAACAGTGGACTATTCCTAGCAGGAAAACGTTTTCTTTTTCCACACTATCTCATGCCCCCCTCAAGCCCCTACCCACACCTGGCTGGCTGGAGCTAGAGAGAGACCCTGGCTTCCTGTCATCTCACCCGGGATCTGGTGGAAACAGTGTGAAGGCTCCACACAGCCATTTGTGGGCCCCGTTTCCAGTATCCATCACTGCTTTTCAGTTTCTCTTAAATTTATAACAGTTGACCTACTAACTGGTTCCCAGAAACAGGTTCAGACTTTGGCAGGCTCACCTAACCTCTTTGTCCTTCCAAAGTACATAAATGCTAAACTGTGCTCGCCGTGAGAGAGAAGCATTCCCAAAAGGCTCAAACCCAAGCGTCTCCCTGCTCCCTGGCAGCCTGCTGTCACCCTTCCCTAAGGAAGAGTTTGTCAGCGTGCCCTTGGCATCATTTCCTCAGCCCAGATTAAGCACAGGTGACTGAGAGTCTGACTTATCTTCACAAGGCATTAGTCACTCTATAAAAGTTAAATTTATTATGAAATGCCTTGTTTGTGTTAGCATATATCGTCTCTGGGAAGGTGGAAACAAAGGCATGTCCTTTAAGGCTCCACATGGGGAAAACACATCCTCTGGAATTTAACCTTAATTTGAACCAAGATCTGTGAAAGAAAAGCACTTTGGTGTATTGTTTCCGTGTCCCACCCTTCTCTCCCTTATCTAAATGCAGCTACTTTTGCTTTGTGGGTTTCCTTTTCTTTTTTTTTCAAACTCTCCCAATACCAAACGACACTGCGTTCTCTGAGTTTAAAGTTTATCCTTAAAAAAGAAGTTAAGATAATTGTGAGAATTACCCTTTAAAAGTCAGTCATTTTATGTAGTACTGATTGTGAAGTTCTTGAAGTTGCACAAATGCTTTATTCACCTTTGTTGCTCATTTTGTAATTTTAAGGTATGCTATGAAGGCTGTTTTAGGAGTGGGGGGCACAGGTCGGTGGCAGAGTGCTGTCCTAGCATTTGCATGCCCTTGGTTTGATTCTCAGCACAGAATTCCCCCCAAATTTATATCTTTTCCAAGATGCTGGCAAATATTGTAATACATGCATAGTTCATACTTTTGTTAAAAGAAGAGAAAATTACACGTAAAAATTATATTAGAAGGCACAGAGCTTTTTTAACAGTGAAAGCAGAGTGAGGCACAATTTGAAAGGCCGCCTATTGAGTCCTCACTGTTTGCAAAGCCTTTATAGTGCTTCCCATGCCTCTGGCATCGTAGATACCACAACCATCCTCCAAATCAAAAGCTCCATCTCTGCTGACCCTCCGTAGTTGTTTAGAAACAGTAAGGAAACTATTTTGGTTTCAACAAATACTGCTTAGGTTAATGATTAGTTTCCTTAATATTGCTAGCACCTATCACTAAGCCTGCAAGCATCCAAATCATTTTCCTTCCTTGACTTTTGTTATACTAAAGAAAAATCACAAACCAAATTCTAATGTAAGTTTAGACAGTCATTTATTCTAGAAAAAAAATGACTTTAAGTATGTGTATATTATGTCCCTGTCAAAATAGCTATCTTCAGTGTTATTAATATGAAATTTTCTTAGCAAAAAATATGAACAAAACATCTATAAATTCATTTGACCAAATGCCTTATTATCATATATTTCATTTAAATGGTAATGCTGAAATTAGTTTGGTAGTCATTTTTTTTTAATTTGGAAAGGAGAGAAAGTTAAAAATAGAATGTGTGCCTATTTAGAAATTGTGTAATGATCTAAGTAATACCAAATCAGAGTATCATTGTTTCCCACCCAAGGCCACCATAGCTCAGCTCCAGCCAGTTTTCTTTATTAAAACCAGTTTAAGAATATCCAACAATGACCGCTCTTATGAAAAGCATACAAGCCCAGGACCGAGAACTGCAGCAAACAGCATTCGTATGCACAGCTAACAGCCATGAACACCCCCACCCTCTTCTGAGACAACCTGAGCTCACTGGTGGCGAACTCTGCTTCCAAGTTCTCCTGTAAAGTCCAACCAGAGCTTATTTCATGTCCCCAGACCATCAGCTTCAGTTCATTGTTTCCACACTTCCGGACCAGTGGCAGAGGAACACACATCACACGGCATTGACAGCAGTTGCCAGGGTGTGGGGGCAAGGGGAAACGGGTACAAAGATCATTTCATTTAACACATGCAACTAAAGTGGGTTTTCTAAGAACAAAATTCAAAATCTTCCAACAGATGTGGATGTCCTTTGATGCCAAAAAACATCTGTACGTTATCTGCTGTGATTGCTCTCTGCACCAAAGCCACAGGCCTGAGTGACAAACACATCCCGTCAAATATGTTGGTGTGCTTGTCACTCAAACATGCACGTGTATCTTTTGCATCGTCAAGTTTCTGCATGCACTCTCTGCCTTGCTTGCTCATACTAGCCTTTCATGCCTGGGCACCACTGTCAATACCACAGCAGCTTTCAAAAGTTCGAACAGCCGGGCGGTGGTGGCGCACGCCTTTAATCCCAGCACTCGGGAGGCAGAGCCAGGCGGATCTCTGTGAGTTCGAGGCCAACCTGGGCTACCAAGTGAGTTCCAGGACAGGCGCAAAGCTACACAGAGAAACCCTGTCTCGAAAAACCAAAAAAAAAAAAAAAAAAAAAAAAAAAAAAAAAAAAAAAAGTTCGAACAGCCTCCTCATTCCATATCACAGCCTTGTGTTCATAGCGTTGATGTGACTCCATTAAATAGAGTAGTGGGTCACAGAACCAATTAACCAGGTCTCATAGGTGCTCACAGAGACTGGAACAACAATCATGGAGCCTGCATGGGTCCATCATAGGCCCTCTGTATATATGTTATGGTTGGGTAGCTTGGTGTTCTTGTGGGACTCCTAACAGTGGGAGTGGGGGCTGTCTCTGACTCTTTTGCCTGCTTTTGAGACCCTTTTCCTCCTACTGCGTTGTCTCATCCAGCCTTGATGTGAGGGCATGTGCCTAGTCTTACTGTATCTTGTTACGCCATGTTTGGTTGCTATCCCTGAGAGGCCTGCTCTTTTCTGAAGGGAAATAGAGGACCAGTGGATGGGCAGGGGGAGGAGAGGTGGGGGAAGGGTTAGGGGAGAGAGGAGGGACAGGGAACTTCAGGATGGATATGATATATGAGAGAAGAATAAATAAATATTTTGTTTTTCAAAAAGAGTAGTGGAATACCACCATTGAAGACACAGCCTATGCTGTGTGATGATGGATTCTTTGGTGAGGAGGCATGTAGACAGAAGGAGCTATCTGGCAGAGTATTTACAGCATGACTTTCAATGAAGTGCTTCTTCCACAAACATTTGAAATGAGAGGGACTGCGGAAATTAAATGAACTCTTTATACTGTACGTTAATATATGAAAGAAAGTATGAATTAAGCAAGGCTAGTAGAACTGATCACCGTGACACCTTTATCTCCCAAAAGGAGAGATTCCCAAGAGGAAAATCCATAGGATGGGTTCAAATTAAAATAAAGAGGAGAGAATCCAGTTCTAAGCAATGCTTCCTACTCCAAACCTGCAAGAAGTTCCCAAGTCCCATGATAGAGCATCGAGGGGAAACCTGAGGTCAGCTGTAAGCGTCGGGTCTTTTCCAGTCAGGCAGACAGTGGTTCACTTTCAGCCACTCAATCTTCTAGCCCCCTGTGTAACAAAACTTACAAAATTCCTTCAGCTTTTCCCCTTTTTCTGAAGAAAAATGTCAAAAATGCTGCTGAATATACTCCACACTGAAGAAGCAAATTGGAAAATGTTTAGCACAGATTATTTTACAGTATACTTATCACAGGCTTAGAAAAATTTAATTATCACCATTTCTAACCAACCAGCCTACTAACTAACCAGCCAGCTAACCAACCAGCCAACTTACCAACCAACCAAAGCCCACTGCCTACATTCCCCAGGCAGAGGATGTAGAATCCATGTTTGAGCCAAAACTCCACTGAAACCACTGCCTGACCCTGTAGTTGATGCTGTCCCCAACCAAAAGGAGCCTCGCAATTATAACCACTGTAGGA